CACACAAGTCTAGGGAAAGTAAGGGTCCAACTGTCCTCCCCTCAGAACCAACTGCTGGAGGTGGTGACCAAATGCCAGAGCCTTATCTGTTGGTCATCACACACTTCTGGGGATGGAGCCCAGGTCCTCAGCTCACACAAGCCCACAGCCCCTCACTGGGGGACTCTAGTTGGGAGCTCTGCCCCTGTGCCACATTCAACCTCTTTCCAGCTTGTCAGAGAAGCATAACCCACAAGTTTTCTGGGGTGTGCTTGAACTAGCATTCCTCCTTCCTCAGTGTCCCTGGTAGCTGAGGTGAAGGGCCTGCAAGAGTCTTCCCCTTCTCTGATGGATTTGTCCTTGGTGCTAGTGGGGTGCTCCATACCCCTGCAAAAATGACTTCAGGTTCCAGGTTGGGCACAGAGTTCCTACCCTGAATGGGAAGGGTTCCCTGGCAGGTGGGCAGACATCCACAGCAGAACAAAGGGCACAGTCAGGAGTGTGGGGGTGGGCAGGCAGTGGGCTGCCCTAGAGGGGCCCTGGCTCCAGCCCCTGGCTGCTTGTACTTATGCCAGGGCACACCCAAGCCTCAGGGCTGTGCAGAGGTGACAGCCAGTGAGGGCTTGCCAGCATGGGCTGCTCCAATGGGTGACTCAGCCCCAAGATGGGCCTCCTGGGTAAAGACAATGGTGGCTTGTGGTTGCCTGTAGAGCTTCCCTACAGGTGCGTGTCCCTGGGGTGCACTGGAGGCTCAGAATCTCAGTCGGTTTCCAAGTACAATGGACCCACTCTCTGGGCAGGACTCAGCAGCTTGTGCTCAGAAGGAGCACATTTGGGGCAGATGAAGGAGGGAGTCTCTGTTGAGCCTTCTTGCTTTGGATGACAAGACTAGAGGCATTGCAACCCCAGGCATCAATCAATGCTGGGGGCAAAGCATGCTGCATCCCCAAGTGGGTGGGCAAACACTCAAATTCATGGGACATACAAGGACCAGGCAGGGACTTGTGTAGTGCCACCTTTTGTGAGGCCATGTTTGTACCCACGCATTTCCCTTATGGGTAAACTGAGTCCCAGCAAGTACTAAGAACCTGCCTAAGGGTTAGGATAAAGAATTGGAGCTGGGGCTAGGTCTGACTTAGTAGATAACTTCATTAGGATATATGAAGCCCTAGGCTTTATCCCAGCACCCAGGCTGAGATTATAGCACTAGGTGGGGTGTGGTAGTGGGGGACGCCAACAGTAGTTCAGGGTCCTCCTTGGCTACGTAGGAAGTCGGGGCCCAGCCTGGGCTACATGAGATCCTTTCTCAACTTCTATCCCTGCCGGCCCCGAAAGAATTGGCACCTAGATTTCTGATTCACACCATTCCCCAACCTGTGTGATGCTGGGGGAGTCCTGGGCATCTGACTGGGGTCCCTCTTGCTGCTTGCCCTGGACACCCCTCTTGTGTCTTCCTGTGTTCACCAGGCTGGGGATCCCAGTGAGCTGTGAAGACCAGGCTGTGCTGGCACTGGACACGCCAGGACAGAGAACAGGAGGGAACACTGGGAGAGCTGGGAAATTGTTTCCTCACGCATTGTGTTTGTAGCTCCAACTCTGCTACACACACACACAGCTGGCCTGCGACAACTCTGCTACACACACACACAGCTGGCCTGCGACAACTCTGCTACACACACACACAGCTGGCCTGCGACAACTCTGCTACACACACACACAGCTGGCCTGCGACAACTCTGCTACACACACACACAGCTGGCCTGCGACAACTCTGCTACACACACACACAGCTGGCCTGCGACAACTCTGCTACACACACACACAGCTGGCCTGCGACAACACACACACACACACACACAGCTGGCCTGCGACAACTCTGCTACACACATACTACACACACACAACTGGCCTGTACACACACACACAGCTGGCCTGCGACAACTCTGCTACACACACACACAGCTGGCCTGCGACAACTCTGCTACACACACACACACACAGCTGGCCTT